GTGTTCAGAGTTAACTCACAGAGTGGACCAAAGTTCCTCTTGGAAAAAATAGAAACAATGAGAAAACAGACCATGGACTCAATAAAGAGCAGAGTAGATGAGGGGACAGCCCAGGTGGTCAGGAGACTTATACGAGCACGGCCAGTGTCCCTCCTGGAGAGGAAGATTCTCCAGGAAGCCACCGTGACACCGTGCTTGCTGCCCACAGGTAACAAACAACAGTAGTCATCCAAGGCTCGAAGGAATGTCGCTTGCCAAAGCCCTGCAGAGGCAACCTGGCAAACCTATGACAAGCAAAGCCACAGACACACTGCCCTCCCTGCCCCAGGCCCCGCTTCTGCGAACCCACCCACAGAAATAGGACGTTTATCGCCGCACCATTTGTAAAGGAAAAAAAAAAACATCAGAAAACTGCCTGAAGGTGCACCGAGACCAGGAGGCTGCAGGGGTGCGTGTTCTGCAGCTCACAGGAAGGATGGGTTAGAGCCGTGCCCAGTGGGTTTTCAAGAACGTGGCCTTAATAAACGGGACAAGTTGCAGCGAAAAATACAAAGGTGTTCAAGGTGACTGGACCATGCCTCCCGGAATCTGGGAATGGGGCCTTGTTTGGAAATAGGGTCTTTGCAATATAATTAAGGGTCTCGAGATGAGACCATCCTGGATTAGGGAGGTCCCTAAACCCAATGACAGGTGTCCTCCTAAGACACAGCAGAGGAGACACAGACGCAGAGGAGAAGCCACGTGGAGACGGAGGCAGAGACTGGAGTGACGCGGCCACAAGCCCAGGGACGCCTGGAGCCCCCAGGAGCCGGAAGAGGCCGGAAGGAGCCTCCCTCGGAGCCTGCGGAGGGAGCTTGGCCCCGAGACACCTGCGTCTCACACTCCTGGGCTCCTGCACTAGGGGAGGGTGAGTTCCTGTGGTTTCAGGTCACCTGATTTGTGGGGTTTGCTACCAACAATCCTACTGTAGGGTTGAACATTCCTGCAGTGCTTGTTCCTACCGAGGAAATTAGGGTCCTCATGTTTGGTCTTCCCTGGAGAATGACAATTTCCTTTGCTGTCGTTATTTGTGGTTTAACAATTTACTCGCATGATGTTTTATTGACGTATGGTCCAGTCTGTAAAATTGTGGTCTCCCTCTATTGCTTCAAAACTAACAGAGTTAATTATCCCCGTAAATATCTGAATCTATGTGCTGTCAGGATTTTTTTCAATTTTTTTTACCTCCTGGTATTGAAATATAGATATCAAATACTTGAGGGTTTTTTTTTTTTTCCCATTTATTTGACTCTAACTTCTCCCAGTACCGTTTTTTATTTTCCCTATAAGGTGTCGCATATAGTTTCTGAGATTTACTTTTGGGTACAGTTTTTTAACACTTTATTGGAAATCGTTTAGTTCACAAAGGCTGGGAAAATGGTGTGTAGAATGTCCAGGCCACCCCCGGCTCACACAGAGCGTGTGGAGTTTGATCTAATCACAATTGTCACCACGGACCGGCGACCCCACAGTCCACAGCGTGCGGAGAGGGGCCCCCTGCCCCAGACATGGGGGCCTCTGTGGGACTGGGGTGCAGGGGAGACCACCGGGACACCCCCACTCACTGAGCCCGCGGAGATCCCCCATGTCTGCGCCCCCTACGACCTGCCGGGCCTCCTATGTCTGTGACCCCCACAGCGCCCACAGGAGACCCCCAGGACTGTGCCCCCAACTCCCGTGGGGAGCCCCCATGTCAGTGCCTCCCACTGCACCCTCGGGGATCCCCCATGTCCGCACCCCCTACCACCTGCAGGGACCCCCATGTCTGCGTCCCCCACAGCGCCAACAAGAGCCCCCTAGGTCTGCACCCCAACTCCCGCGGGGAACCCCCATGTTTGCTTCCCCACTGTCCGCGGGGATCCCCATGTCAGTGCCCCCCGCACCGCCCGCGGAGAACCCCCATGTCAGTGCCCTGCACCTTCTGGGAAACCCCAAAGTATGGGATCCCCACCGTGTCCTTGGGGACCCCCAGGTCTGCGCCCCCCACAGCGCCCCCGAGAACCCTGCAGTGTGCACCCCATACCACCCCCGCGGGGACCCCCAAGTGTGCACCCCCAACTCCCGCAGGGACCCCCACATCTGCTTTCCCACCAACCACAGGGACCCCCATATCTGCACCCCCCATCGCGCGCGCAGGGACCCCTCAAGTCTGAGCCCCGCACTGCCCACGGAGAACCCCATATCAGTGCCCTGCACCTCCTGGGGGACCCCAAAGTATGGGATCCTCACCGAGTCCGCGGGGACCCCCGGGTCTGCGCCCCCACAGCGCCCCCGAGAACCCTGCAGTCTGCACCCCATATCGCCCACGCGGGGACCCCCACGTGTGCTCCCCCAACTGCCGCAGGGACCCGCATGTCTGCTACCCCACCAACCACGGGGACCCCCATATCTGCACCCCCTATCGCGCGCGGAGGAACCCCTCAAGTCTGCGCCCCGCACCGCCCGCGGGGACCCCCATGTCTGCGCTTCGTTGGGGCCCCCATCCCAGCGAGCTCGGGAACCGCCCTGGTCGTCTCCCAGCCCCGCAGGCGCAGAACGTCCCCCCGGGCGGGGCGGGAGAGCAACGGCCTCGTGGGCGGGGCGAGGGAAGGAGGGCGGTGGGCGGGGCTTAGAAGGGCGGGGCTTCCCCGAGCAGGAAGGCCGGGAACGGGGCGTGGTCTGGAACGCGCGTGGTCCGCCCCGCCCCGCGCCGTGGAAGCCCCGCCCCCCGCCGGTCCTTCTTGCGCGAGCCGCAGTGCGCCTGCGCCGGGCGGGCGCGGGTCGCGGGTGTCCGGGAGTCGGGGTCCGGGCTGCCATGGTGCTGTGCCCGGTGCTGGGGAAGCTGCTGCAGAAGCGCGTGGTGCTGGCCAGCGCGTCCCCGCGCCGCCGGGAGATCCTCAGCAACGCGGTGCGCGCGCGGGTCTGGGGGCGGGGGCCTAGTGAGGGCGGCGGGGGTCGGCGACCGGGAGGGGGCCTGGTGACTGCTGGTGACGGGGGAGGAGGGACCTGGTGAGCAGGGGAGACCTAGTGACCCGAGTGGGGGCATGCTGACCAGGGTGGGGGCCTCGTGACTACTAGTGACTCGGCTGGACAGACCTAGTGGCCCGGGTGGGGGCCTGGTGACCACAAGTGACCAATATAGGCACCTAGTGACTGCTAGTGACCACGTCAGGGCATAGTGACTGCTAGTGACCAGGTTGGGGCTTGGTGACCGCTAGTGAGCGGGGTGGAGGGACCTACTGACCACTAGTGACAAGGACAGACCTAGTGGCCCAGGTGGGAGCCTGGTGACCACAAGTGACCAGTATAGGCACCTAGTGACTGCTAGTGACCAGGTGGGGACATAGTGACTGCTAGTGACCAGGCTGCAGGGACCTAGTCACCGCTAGTGACCGGGACAGACCTAGTGGCCGGGTGGGGGCCTAGTGAGAAGGGCCTAGTTGGGGGGGGGTCTGCCAGCTGTAGGGAAGGGCTTCTGGGGGCCGTAGGGAAGGGGTCTGTGGGATTCAGGGGCTCAGGTGCGGGAAATGGGGTCCTAGGACCTAGTGACGCACAGGCGCAGACCCCCATGCGTGCTGGTGGGACGTGGGGGGCCCTCATGTGGGGGGCTCTTACCCCACCGTGGTTGAAGCCCACATTTCTGTACCCCAAAGACTCACACAGGCCTCCCCAGGGACTATCGTCCGTCCCTGTGTGTTAGCGGACCACGATGACACCATCATTTCTGGAATTCTGCTGAATTTCGTGTGTGCGGGATCCTTTTCGTTGGCCTCCCTGACCTTTGGTGTCCCCTGGGAGCCCTCTGACCTCCCTGGCGCTGCACCCCGTACCCCAATCAATACTGCCCCGCGGCCTCTTGGTTCCCGGCCTCCTCCCTGCAGGTCCACACTAGCCAGGCCCAGGGTCAGTCCCTGGCCGGCCCCTAACCCGGAGTGGGCACGTAGCAAAAGCTACACCAACAGACCAGGTCGCTGCCAGGGGGAGGGCGTGAGGGTGTAGGAAAAATCAGGTTTTCTGCAAATCTTGCACCTCTGCTCAGTGCTCTTGGGTTCTTTCGTCACCCTGCTACACCCCTTTTCTTCTCTTGCAGGGTCTGAGGTTTGAGGTGGTTCCCTCCAGGTTTAAAGAGAAGCTGGACAAAGCCTCGTTCCCCACCCCGTACGCGTACGCCGTGGAGACCGCCAGGCAGAAGGCCCTGGAGGTGGCCAACAGGATGCACCAGGCAAGGGACCCTCTTCCTGCAAAGTTCTTTCACTGCGAGAGCGTTTTCAGGTTTTTAATATAAAGGCTATAAATAGATCTCAGTTATAATATGCAGTTAATG